GATAGTGGCTCCTGGAGCCAGCTCCTATTAGCTTGCTAGAATTCAATTTGCACATCTCTTCCCAACACCATGTTGAGTAACTTCATCCTGATACCCTGAAATTGGCCCTGGTGGGATTTATTTGCACTCGTGGAGCTAGTGAATACAAAGCTCTTCTTTTGGAAGAGCTCATTGTTAACCATTTACCAGCACCCCACTGGCTGAACCCTTGAACAATGATATCAGTGATCCTGGGAGAGATCAGCAACAGGCCTTTTGTAGGTCATGATTCACCTGTTGATGCTGCAGGGGAAAATCCAGCACAAGGACCATGCCAGTGGGTACTGTTCTGGAAACACAAACTTCAAGCTTCACTGACTCTTGCCAGCTAGGAGTGAACTGGATTTATCAAATATCTCTTCCATTTTCCACCCGATTGTTTTGGGAAAAGAGGCCTGGCCATGCGCAGGCCTGGCCTCTCATAAGAGCCACAAGGATGTTTGAGGGAATTCCACATTCAAAATAGATCCCTTTAGTTCTCCCTTTTGATATGTGATCATTCCTGGTCCTCAAAGAAAATATAGGGAATTAGGTAGAATTTCATTTGCAAAACAAAAACAAAAAGACATTAACTGGAATGTATATAGCAGAAAATGATTGGATAGCATTTTTCTCTGTCTTTATCCTGTTGTGATGGTGTGTGTGCCGTATTACGCTGAACTGTGCAGGTGTTTATACGTCCAAGTGGGATGTGTGCATAGAAACCATTTGAACAACAGCGTTGTCATCTGCGATGAACTGGCTGGGAGGAGGTGGTGCTGGCTGAACACGGATGTTGTTGGAGGAATCCGGGACTGATCGTGTATTAGACAGCATACGCTTCGTGGCTGCTACCTCCTCGGCTGTGAAGTCTGAGTCCGCTGCTTCTGCTTCAGCTCACATTCTCTAAACTGAACAGAGAGGATGAAGGATTGGACCCACTTACCAGGGTGACGTAGACAAAGTAATACCCGGAAATGTGTGGTTTTGAGTACTTTTGTCTCAGCAGAAATGAAGTAATTTCTTTTTCTCCTTTCAAGACTGATATCCAGTTCCTAGGCTTATTAAATTGTCATTTTTTTATATTCAGAATTCACATTTTGGGACACGTCAGTTTTAGTCAGCTGAACATCATCATTTTTGTAGGAGTCATAGAAACTGACTCAGGAATGTCTAGAGACTCACTTTTATTTCTGTGTAAAACCATTGGTAGAGTCAGGGCAATGGCCACAGGAGGTGTGGGAGGCAGCAGCATGTGCTCAAATGTGCTCTGGGTACTAGAGGAAGCAATTTAGGCTCCATCAATATTTAGACTGCTGGTACCCTTGTGGACTCCAGCTAATATTTATCTCTGGAGAAGGCTCCTAATCCCAGGACTTATTAAATGCGAAATGCCTTGCTAAAGAAAGAGATTGAGCCTGAAAACGTCGTCAGCTCTGAAATGTCAGCCACAGCTGAAGTTCTGGGGCAGTGTCAATGCGCTCCTCTCCCGAGACATGCCCTAGTGAAGAAGGGAAAATGGAGTCTCCTCCAAGCGAGGCGGAGGGAACCTGTCTTCATTAAGTCGCAAGCTTCCTCTACACACTGGCTGGACACAGAACAGACTTTGTTGGTCTTGTAAAACAAGAACAGAAAAGCCCTTTGTGACAGGGATGGGCGGAGTCTACGGCGGGGCGGTGCCAAGCAGAGAGACATGCTCTCGGAGCAGCTCTGAGCCTCAAAGGCTGGCTCTGGCCGCCAGTGTGCTCTGTCCTGAAGCGAGCTGCTGTGGTCTGGACATGGTTCGAGGCCCCAGAAGGTTCGCCCTGGTCTCCAGGGTGGCAGTGTTGAGGTAGCAGACCCTTTCAGAGCTGGGTCCTAGCGAAAAGTGATTTGGTCACAGGGGTGCACCGCAGAACGGATTAGTGCAGTTCTGAGGGAGCCCGGTTTGTCCCTGCGAGAGTGGCTGTCATAAAGGAGCCTGGCACTGCCTCCTCCTCTCTTCCACTGCCGCACTCATCCTCTGCTTGCTCCCCCTTGCTCGATGCCTCACGCGGGCACCTGCCTTGTTGTGATGCAGCTAGAAGACCCCTGCCACAGCTGAGCGGATGCCAGGGCTGTGCTCTCCAACCTTCAGAGCCTCTTTTCTTTCTATTTCTATTTTTTATTTTTGATTTTGAGACAAGGTCTCAGTATGTAATTCAGGCTGGCTTTGAACTCACTATGTAACAGGTTGGCCATGCACTCGTGATGATCCTCCTGTCTCAGCCTCTCAAGTGCTAGGATTACAGGTGTGTACCGCCATGCCCAGACAGAACCTCTTTTCTTTATAAAGTATTCAGCTTCCTGCACTTTGTTACACCAACACAAAATGCACTATGCCCTAAGTTAATAACAACTGAATTTTATACCAGCTGCTCACACTGTGAAGACAGGGTCCTAGGGACTCTTGAAAACTTGAAAGAGTGGGGAAAGCCACACAAGAGAGCAGTTTTGGACTCCAAACCTCACAGTCTGCTTTCAGGGACTAAATCTTACATGTACTGGTAGACCGTCCTGAATTCCTGAGTTGCTCCTGAAGCTGCAGCCAATGTCACTGGGCTCCAACATGTTCTCTGTCTCGATTTTGATAGACCATTACTTCATAAACAGTAGTAAAGTCACACAGTCCAAAATAACCTTTGAGACCTCCCACTCTGAGTGCCTCAAGCCCAGAACGGGGAGGGCGAGTGTCCAGGGGACATGCAAAGCCACTCAGGGAGTTAGGGGCAGGAGTTAGGCGGCATTTCCTGACCTCAAAAGCTAACTGGATGATCCTAGATAAGGCATTCAAAGCTCTGCCTGGGATCTCACATGAAACAGAACTAGAAAGGCCGAGTCCACATCTCCTGGTTTTGAATTAAATGAAATAGTAAATTTTAATACTTAACCCAGGATCTGACCTCTGACATAATTTCATCCTCTAGAGTCCGTCCCTCCTCCACTCCAAGCCCTCTTCTCCCTGGCTGTACACACGTTGTTTTAAAAGCATTTCAAATGGGATTCCTCATGTATATTGCTCACTTCCTTCTCCTCTCAACTCCTAACTCTTTATCCGCCTACCTGGGATTTTTTGGTAGAAGAGAAGAAGAAATTTGAGAAAGTGAAGCCTGATTGGTTCCTTTCAGCCAAATCCATCCCATGTGCCCCATCTGCTTTCTTCTGGTCTTGAAAGGATTTCAGTATATCTCAGGTCCAAGCAACTGGAAGTGGAGGTTCAATAATTAGTCAAAGGCCATTGGTGATTCCACCCTGTGTTTGCACATAGCAACCCTTTGGAGACTTCCAAAAATACTAATGCTTTTAGGAATCATAAACTCTTAAAATTTGCATACCACTTTACCCAGAAATTCTGCCTGTAAGCATCATTCTAGTCTAAGAAGAAAAGAGAGATGGACTAAGATATACGCCTAAAGTATCACGTGTATTTTTTTAAAGCATCTAAGAAAGCATCTTCCAAGTCCAACTGGAGCAATGGAGAATTATTATATAAATATGCAGAGCCATTAAAAATCACACTTATGCTGTGGTGTTAGAAGTCAGTCTATGGTGAGCCTTGGGGTGGGAGAGAGGATAGAAGTTCATGAGGTGCTGGTAACTCCAGTTTTTTACCTGCATACTGTTTGTATATGAACATTCACTTTGTAAATGCTCATCAAGCTGCACTTTTGGGATGTTTGTTTGTTTGTTTGTTTTTCCTTCTGGTACTGGGAATCGAACTCACGACCTTGCGCTTGCCAGGCAGGCACTGTGCCGCTGAGCTAAATCTCCAGCCTTCAAGCTACACTTTTGAATGTACACTTTTAACCAATACAGGGACAAGCACTTAATTTTTTAAGTGCCCAGTTCAGTAGTGTCAACTGCATTCATACTGCTGTGATATCAGTATTTTCCTCTTGCAGAACTTACACTTCATACCAGTGATGATGGAGCTGTCAGAGCTCTCGGTGATAACAAACAACCTGCTGCGGTGTGTGCGCCAGAGGCTTGATATCGCTGTGCCTACCCCACCAAGCAACAACTCCACATCCTCCTCCCCCGCCCCAGCCCCTGGCACCAACCATCCTGTTTTCTCTCTCTTCAAATTTGTCTGATCTACATATCTGTGTTAATGGACACACGCAGTGTCTTTTTGTAAGTGGCTTACTTCACTTACCGTAATGTTCTTATGTTTCACCCGTGTTGTAGCATGTCAGAATCTCTCTCCTGGTGAAGGCTAAATAACATTCCCTTGTGTGTCTACACCATGTTGTGTTGGTCCAAACCTTTATTGATAGCTCCACGTTTTTGTTATTGTGAATAATGTTCCTACGAGCACCAGTGAACAGATATCTCTTCACGATCCTACTTTCAGTTCTGTAGGGTACAAACCCAGAACTGGAATGGCGGGACATATATGCGCTTCTAGTACGCATGTTATATTTCAATAAAAATTAACACTAAAATACTATTGCTTGGGTATCACCTCTAGAAATTCTCGTTTAAAGGTCTGAGGTAACCTACAGATCAGAATGTGCACAGCCTCCTTAGGGAATGCTCCTGTGTCTCCAAACCCAGGAGAGTCATTTCACCCATTCCTGAAAAAGTCTTGCAGAGAACGGTGTAGAAACAGCGCGGGGTCGTGGTGTCCAGTGTTCGCGCCAACCTTCACCTAGTTGCCTTTTGATCCTGCTCTATCCTTTGACCTTTGAACTTAAAAATCATTCCCATCGTATGGGGTCTGGACCAGGAGGGTTTGGCAGTCACCACTGTGCTTCCCACCAGCTGCAGGTAGGGGGAGACGGCACACCTGAGTCCTCATCATAGCAGGCTGGCAGGTTTGATCTTTCTACAGGAACAAGCAGGTGGGTGTTGCCTAACGAGAAGAGGGCATATCACAGCGGGCCAGCTCAACATACAAAATACTTTTCCCATGAACTGCCTGAAATTCTTCTTCTCCTTTTTTGCTTGCATTAAACTCCTGCCAACAATTGGGACCCTCTTTCAAAAACCAACTGGCCCCGGAGGATTCATGTGTGGAGTCTCAGCCATGCAAACACTATCGTGAATTAGTTCAAACAGATGCCTTTCAATAACACAGCTGCGGTATCAGAACACGGAAGCAGGGTTTGCGAGCCCCGGCACTGTTGACTTTTGGGCTGGAGAATTCTTTGAAGTGGGGAGCTGTTCTGGGCACTGTGAGACACTCAGCAGCCGCTCTGGCCTCTCCACCTTTAATTGCAGTGGCTCAAAGTGTCTCTAGATATTGACAGACATCCCCTCGAGGGCATCCTCCTCCCCAGGTAAGAATTACTACACTAACGGAATGAGAGTTGGGAAGAATGAAGGGAGAAAGAAGAAATATTCAAACGAAATTTAGAGGTATTTGGGCCTGGATAAGGTTGTTATTTCTCAGGATCCATTTATATCTATCTCAGCTCCAGAAAACTCCCTATTGTGGGGCTGGGAGGCAGGTGCACCATGGGAAATAGGGCACTGTGAGGAAATCTTGCCTCGAGCCTACACAGAACCCAGCTCCTTTGGCACCTGCCCTCTCTCCTGTAAGCTCTTCCTGCTTCCAAAATGTGAAATGCTGTGCATACAGGTTTATTACAGGAATCATTCTACTTGTCTCCAAACTCAGGAAATTACTTCCAGCTTTTGTTTGTTTTATTTGTGTTGTAGTTTTTTTTTCCACTGCCGGGGACTGTACCCAGGGCACTGAGCATGCTAGCCAAATGCTGCAGTGCTGAGCTAAATTCCCAGCTGTTCTTATTTTTTATTATGACACAGGGTCTCACCAAGTTCCCTCAAACTTGTGATCCTCCTGTGTCCGCCTCCCAAGTAGCTTGGATTACAGGTGCGGGTCACTTTGCCTGGCTCTCTAGGTTTTCAGGGTGGCAAAATTACCTCTTGTGAATGTCACAAACTTGGCTTTGTTGACACAGCACAGTATCATTTATCATATTGAAGACAACACACCAGTCCCAAAATGCTTCCATTCATAACTGCCCTGATTTTAAAGGACTCCACTGCTAAAGCAGAAACATTTTGAAATATCCAGATGGAAAAGGAGGCTATCACTGCCTGAGGCCTGACCCCTGCTGCTAGAGTGACCGGAACCTCTAGCCCAGTCTTCCAATCACCCTCCTCCTCTGGCACATGAAGCTTCATAGCTACTTTCCAAGACCTTCTCTGACAGAAACCTATTTTCCCTTCTATTTTGTTCTTTTCACTTGGCTTCTGTTACATCAGGATCCTAAACCCCTCTCTGTGAGGAAGATTCAGCCATCCTTGGCCTGGGCCTCTGGGGGCAGCCATTTTGAGACCAGAGGTGCTGACAAAACAGCCATTTTGTGATGAAAGGCACTGAAGAAACACAGCTGTGCTGGAAGCTGGGCTCAGACTGAGTGGAGGCCTTGTGCGGGCTGCCCAGCTCCCAGCTTGCAGCTTTACCCACTGTACAAACTGGTTCAGAACTCAAATGCACAGCTGTTTGCTTAGGGCCTCTGTTGACTCAGTGCCCCGGGCCTCTGGGTGGGTGGCCTGGCAGCCACTCAGTCATTGTTCCGACTGGGTTCCCCTGGGTGACACTGCGGCCTCCCTGCTGAGAGTTCCTTTCTTTATTTCATTTTCTGGTCCTTGAAAAGCCAGGCTATCAACTCACACTTGCAGGTGTCGAGTTTCATTTTTAAGGAGGCATAATTCACCACTCTCGGTGTTTTCGGCTGTGGGATGGGGTTTGTTGCGTAACAGGGACTTTTTCACTTTCCTCTTGGAAAGCGTCAGGCTGGCTTGAGTGCTGTCACTGTTCTGGTGCGTTAACTCTTTCTGATCCTGGTGCCTCGTGTGTCAGTGGTTTCCAGGGTGCCCTCTGAGATCGCTGAGATGGGCCACAAGGCTTGTGCGGGCCTCGAGTGACTTCTGGCTACCGTGTTACTAGGCCCACAGTGGCAATCTGGAAAAAAGAAGCAGAAAAGGACATGTTTTCATCGTTCATGGGACCAGTAACATTTATTAAGCAAATGCTTTGTGTGAAGCACCATGCCTGGCACCTTTGGTTTCAGATGCGTTGGCTCCTGTGATCATCCCCGGGGATGTCTGTCCTGAGTATTGTTGCTGTCTTTTGTCACACAGGGAAGTTGAGGGTCAGAAAGGCGGCGGCTTCCCCATGTCCCTTAGTGTCTGGAGGCACAGCAGGAATTTGGGCCTGAGGTCTTACTCTAAAGCCTGGGTCCTGGCCACACCTCAGCTCTCTGTGGCCCTGCTCACCTTCCTCCTCACCCCACAAGGTCCCAGCAGGGGACAGCAGTCAAGAGGGGCCCAGACAAAAGCACCTGCCTGGCAAGCGCAAGGTGGTGAGTTCAGTTCCCGGTACCGGAGAAAAACCAAAAAAAACAAGAGGGGCCCAGAGAACAAAGCCCACAGTGGGCAGGGTCCACCTGGCAACTTCTCCCAGGCTGCAAACTGACATCCCTTCTTGGAGACCACAGCTGTTCTTTGCCAACTTCCTCAAGCTTTGCTCTCACAGGGCAGAGTGCCCATGTCACCTGACCCTGCTGCCAAAGAAAGCAGGGAGCAGCACACTTATGGACACACAACATGCACACACATGCACACATACCTGTGTCACACAGACACACATATCCAGACACACACAAGCACACTTAGACACATGCATGTGTATGTTTGTATGAGTACACATGCACACATATATCTGGACATGCACTCACACCCCCACCATACACACTCACATATAGCCACACACGTCCATCCTTAACATGTCCATGCACATATCCATTCACATTTTCTCTTACATGCACCATATGCACCATATATCATGTCTCACACACTCACAACGCTCTCACAGTCATAACCCCCCACTTACACAAATTTACACTCACACCCTCATATACATTTGTTGACACACGCACACACACATGCATGTTCAAACGCATACACAGGAACACACTCACACTTCTCCCACTAGCGCACACAGGTGCATCTCATGCTCTTGCAGAGGCCTGGAGGGCAGTGCCCAACATAAATAACAGGTGGTGTGCCATGGGTTTGTGTGACTTTCCAAAGCCACTGGAAATGAGAACTTGTAGCGAGGACCCTGGATGTTAGCAGGGACATTTGAGCTCAGTGCCCAATTTCACCAGCCCTGGAGTTCAGGAGGTGGGTGGTTGGGCACCGGCCGGGTGCTCGGAGCTCACCCTGTGGAGCCTCACGCAGTACCTCATGACCTTTCCTTGCCTCTGTTTCCTCACCTGGAAAATGAAGCTAACGACGGTGTAGGCCTTGTGGAGCTGTACTACACAGATGCGTGTGGACCTAGGGACCCACGGTGTCTTAGTCACTTTCTTGCTGCTGGGACAGAATGCCTAAAACCCATAACTTAAAGGAGGAGAGGTTTATTATCACTCAGGTTTCAGTCCGCAGTCAGCCAGCTTCAAGCAGGACAGCGCAGCAGAGGGCCATGGCGGAGAAGACCTGCTTGTGAGTTGGGGGACAGGAAGTACAGCGAGAGAGGAGAAGCCAGGGAAGAAAATGAACCCTTCCAGCCACGCCCCAGTGTCCCACCTCTTCCAACCAGACCCCACCTCCTAACAAGTCAGCTGTGAGCCCCCAGATCTAGTCACCTTCCACAAGCCCTGCCTATGAATGCAGGAGGCTTTTGGGGGGGGGGGCTCTGAGTATAAACCGTAACACAGGGCACGGCACGGACAAGATTGCCAGCTTGGGTCTCCTCCTCATTGTGAGCCTGTGATGAGGGGCACAACCAGCCCACAGCAGTGTGAGGTTTGGATATGGAAGCATCTGGGAACATTTCTCCGGCTTGAAACGCTTTCTCTCCTCTTTCGGTGGCTGCAGTCTAAACCTCTCATGCTTTAGACGCTTCAGCAGTGGAAGAAGAAGGTCCTTTCTCCTTCCGGCTCTCCTCAGGGTGCCTTGGCTTTGTATGGTCAGTGACAAACTCAGTCACCAGGGGAGATGGGCAGCATCTGAGCCCAGCATCTGCACCTTCCCGCCACCCCCACCCCAAGTTGAATTAATGCTCCTCTGGTGAGGGTTTCCAGAAAGCCAATTGAGGAAGGACCCATGGAGAAATCAGAATTTCATGTCTGAGCTCAGCTTACACTGGTAGAATCTTAGGGTTAACATCTGTGATACGAAGACATCTCTCCAAAGCTACAAAAAAACCTGTGGAATTATTTTAATTACGACCAAAAGAAAATACAGTTAGACAAAAGAAAAGAAATAGTAGTTAGGGGGTCAGGGTGGGGCTCAGTGGTGAGCTCTTGCCTGGCATGTGTGTGGCCCTGGATTCCATCCCTGGCATCAAAAAAAGAAGAAGAAGAAAGAAAGAACAGTTAAACCAACAGCACCTATGTTGTTCTGTTTCTTCCCTTGACCAGTGTGGAATCATTTTTCGCCTCTTCCAGTCTCCGTTAGGCCAGGCCCCTTCCTCCTCTGGTTCATGGTTTGTCCATCTGCTCAGCCTCCCGGGGGCCACGGCTGCCCGCTTCTGTCTCCTCTGCTCTGTGAGGCTCCACCTGCGGAGGCCTCTTACAGAAAGTTCCCAGGGCAAATCACCTGCAGCCTTTCCTCCCCTCCCATCTCTGGCCCTGCTGGAGAGAGGTCCCCGCTTGATCCAAGGGCTCTATTTGCCTTAGAATCCCAACTATTTCCTTATCAGAGCGCCCATCTCATCAAAGCAGTGGCCAGAAAGAGACTAGTTAGCAGTCTCCAGGAGCACAAGCTTTTCTTTCTCCTTCACTCCAGGAGAGATGAATGGGGGTTGCCCCGTTCATGATTGTGTGATTCACATGATTGTCATTTACGGTTTATTTTTTGTTTACACTTGCACCCAAGTTTACAAAATAAGCCCTACTTATGGCTAGAGCATTGTTGGAATGATATTCACTGAATTCCAGTAACACTTATTTGGGCAAGTGGCCTGCAGGGAGGTCTATTTATCATGTTGGTTTCTGCTTCATACTTCGCTGGATTGATTGACTTAAAAGTGAACATGCCATCCTTGTTGTAAAAAAGAAAGCCTTTTTTTTAAATGGTGGTGATGGTGGTGCTGGAGATCAAACCCAGGGCCTTGTATATGACAGGAAAGTGCTTTACCACCCAGCCGCCAGACTAAAGCTGTTTCAAGAAGGAATGTGCGCACGCGCACGCACGCGCGCACTCACGCAGAGAGCGACACCGGTTACTCTCGCACAGGCTCCGCCCCGCGCCATCCCTCGTTTCTGCGCACCCCACCCTGCAGGCTGCTCAGCCTCGTGGC